GGGGGCCCGGCGCCCCATTTTGCCCCCCGGCAAGCAAACGGCCCCCCCGTACCTGCCACAGCCACGGGTGAAAGACGGTGTCAAGCACTGAAAGTGAGTGTCAGCAGAAACAGCACCAACACGAGGGGACTCTTCAGGGACATAGTCCTCTCCGTGAGGCTGGACTGTTAGACCCTCAGACTCGGACCTCGGCTGCAGCAACACTCTCCGTCAATGGAGAAAAGTGTCTTCTTAATGGGACATGTAAACTACTGCATCCCTGGTCATTATGGATCTGTAGATCCCTGGTCCTGATGAAACCCTATGACATCACAGAATCTGGATTTTCCATCTTTATTAAATGGTACATTTATAACCAAAACTGTATATTTAAATCCACAGGCACTCGGCCCCCTGTTGTATTCCTACAAGTGATGAATCCCATTCCAACCAAAATATCACAATGTTGGAAGAAAAATGGGCTTTGTATCCATGCAACATATGCTGCAAAAAATTGAAAATTAAAAAAACAACCCTGTATTCTACATCTTGGGATTCATAATAATCTAATAATAATCTATTTATATGTGAGCAAAATGAGTTGAATGTGAAAGTATCTCATCTTGCCTACAAGACTACCACATAAATATACATATTTGTGGTATGGACAGCTAAGATTTCCCAGTGTAAACACCATTTCCCAAGTCTAAAATTCATCAATTCATTCAGAAGTGTTAGAATTCAAGATGGAATAAAACGGTGACTATTTACTGCCGACTGCCGGTCTGTGCCAAACACCTGTGATTGGCCGAGGCAACAGTAAAGACCCACCTCTCTGCCCTGACCCCTGGGTCCGGCTTTTTAATGCAGCTTGAGCAGGGTCAAGGCTGGGTCACTGCAGAGGCCTAATGACTTCCTCCTAATAAAGATGTGATGTATGAGTGCTGTGATCGGCCCCTGAGATGACCAGCAGGTAACCCCTGAGTAGATGGGGGCGGGACATGGGGGGACAGAACAAAAGACCAAAGAAAAAAAAACCTTCATATTTGAACTATATATTTACTTCACATTATGTTGATTTTTTTCCAGTCAGAAACAAAGCCTGACCAAACCAAACTGATTACATAAGAGTTTTAGTCAAACTTATATTTTTCAATTTCAGAAGTTGATTGGCAGATGTCGTTTGTAAAAGAAAAAGTTTGAGTTTGAATATAATTTTACTAAAAAAAAAACAGACTCTTAGTAAAAATGAGAACTGAAGATATCCATGTGTGTGTGCAGTATATATTATTTCATGAAATTGGGTCATTATTTGACACTAAGAGTCCATGGTTCTATATCAGGGGTGTCAAACTCAAATTCACAGTGGGTCGGAATAAAACCTAACGGGCAAAACTCAATATTTATTGAAAAATTGACAGCGAACAAAACGAGATATTCAATTTGTAATCAAACACACATCAGTGGTATTTGTTTCTAATGATGTCTCTTTATCTCTGGCCTTTTGAGTTCTTTTTATTGTAAATCTTTGTTTTATAGTCCAACAAAAGAACAACCAAAACTGCATGTGCATCACTAATAAGTGTTAATCCCTCCAGTATATAGTGGTTATATAATGGCGAACCAACTCCAGTACACGTTTGATATGATCTGGTGGGCCAAATATAATTACACCGCGGGCCAGATTTGGACCCGGGCCTGAGTTTGACACGTGTGGATTAGACGATCATAGTCAATAAACAATATAAACAATACATCAAATATGCTGTGCATCTTCTTCTCCAGGGCGCTCTGCCGTTTGATGATGACAACCTGAGGAATCTCCTGGAGAAGGTGAAGCTGGGAGTGTTCCACATGCCGCACTTCATTCCACCAGACTGTCAGAACCTTCTGCGTGGCATGATTGAAGTGGACGCCGGCAAGAGGCTCACTGTAAGATGACGAGCAGGAAACAGACATCACGTACTGACAGGCTTAGCTCGACAGGTTACACTGAGATCGGGTTTAGAAGAAGCGAGGAAGTTCTTCAGGGGGAGTTCAGGTTCTTTTCTTTAGAATTATAGGCACACTTGTATCCTCAGTTAGAATTAAATACAGTAAACGCTCCACTAGGATAAATGTCATATGTAGTATTTTGTGATAATATTTTTTTTCCCAGTCATTGAAAAAATTGTGGGAAATGAGAAAAAAACATCAAATATCCTGAATTTGCATAATTCATCCTGGAAAATGATTTCCCTTCTCAGTTTCTCTTCGTAGTGTGTGTGAATACATTCAGGTCAAAGGTCATGAGTGTGTATTTCTGTTAGTGGCTGATTTTGTACCAAATTGCTTCTCTGTTTCCAGCCGGTGCAGCACCTCTGCTCACCTCAGAGCAGCTCAACACTTTTTAGTCTCCATTTGAGCAGATTAAAAACCACTCTCCGATGTCATTCAGGATTTATCGCTTTGTTTTTCTCCCCCCTCGGTCTGACCTCTGTTGAACACTTAAACATAGAATCTAAAGTTCAACTGTAGGAAAGAAGACTTTCAGCATATTAAAAGGACAGGGGATTAGTGTCAGTGTGTGACAGGACAACTGAAAAAATACTTTTAAAGAACCTGTGATTGTTCAACCTACTACTCTTGTTTTACACAGACAAGGTTTTCAAGGTGTTTGTAATGTATACAATCAATTCAAAGAGTCCTTCATATTTGTCTCTTCTCTGATTTTCCTCCACAGCTAGAGCAGATTCAGAAGCACACGTGGTACCTGTGAGTATCTCCACTTTCTTTTTCTGTTTGTTTGCTCACTTGAATCACAGGGGTGAAAAGAAGCGAAGGTGAATAGAAGCTGGTTGTTGAAATCTCAGATGGAACGTTCTCAGACAAGAAGCATTAGTCCATTAGTCTCTCAGGGTAAGAGATGTAACTGGCATACATTTTAGAGGACAGATCAAACATTAGGGACAGTCCGTCGTTGCTAATGGATCCTCGTCTCTAATGCGCTGACTATTTCTGGCTCTGACAAAAAGCACAATGCTGCTGATTATGCAAAATTAAACTGGGTGGACAGGTTTAAATCCAATCTGTTTCATGTTGCACATGTGTCGCTCACTGACATCTCCTAAGGTTTGTTTATTTCACCTCAAGTCTTAAATTCTGGGTAGATTTTCAACATTTCTGTCAGTATTTGTAGAAGGGAATTTGCAAATGTCGTAGCTGAATTCATTCAGCGCTAATGAAAATACCAGTTAATGGATTCAAGTGGACGAGCAAGGTGACAACGTTGTGCCAAGTATTTCAATAAGAGAGATCAATTTCAGGCTTATTTAACTTTAATGCTTGACACACAGTAGTTTGTCTCCAGTTCTTTGACAGTGTGTTTAATTAGGATTGTTTTGGTTGGTAGTGTTTTTATCAAAAGTCCCTAAAATAAAAAGTTACTAGGTGTGACACTTTTCTCTAACCAGTATCTTGGTGTTTCATTGACTATTAAGTCGGTTAACCTTCAAGTATAAATACATGTAAATATAATGTGATGTAAATTGTAAATACTGTGGAAATGAATCATGCATGTCCGACTAGATTCAATTTATGACCACAGAATTGCCGTGAATTTGAATTTACAGTTTACAGTGCCTTTCCTCGGGCGCAGCTTCATCTTAATTTCTGACGTTTGACGCTCGTGCGCCGGTGCTTTATTGTTATTAATGAAAGGATCGTGTGGATGACAGAGTAGAACTTGAATGTCGCCTGCAGTGAAAAAAGACTTCTTATCTACGAGTCGCCTTATCTATCCTGTCGACCTTTGACCTTCTGATGCTGCTGAAGTGTCCCACAGAAAGATGAAAAGATTTTGTTTTTTGTTTTTTTTGCCAGATAAATCCTTGTCACTTTTTTTTCCAGCGCTGGAAAGAATGAGCCTGAGCCTGAGCAGCCCGTCCCCAGGAAGGTGGCCATCAGGATGCTGGCTGCCACTGAAGAGATCGACCCTGACGTTCTGGAGAGCATGCACTCTCTGGGCTGCTTCAGAGACAAAGACAAACTGACCAAAGATCTGCTTTCGGAGGAGTGAGTGGCGAGAGGGAACATTTAGGAGGGAGGGGGAGGAGTTTAGAAAGGATAAAACCACTTGAGGAAACAAATTAAAGTGAGAAAGAAGAGGAATGAAGGAGGAGACAGTGGAGCAGAGAGATTGTCACTTTGATGAATTCTCCTATTTAAAATGTCTAGTGATGATGGAGCGTCTTATTGTCCCTCTCTCAACCAATGAACACGCAGCTGACAATTAATTCTTGGGTACGCTTCTCTTCCCAGTGACAACCAGGAAAAGATGATCTACTTCCTGCTTCTGGATCGTAAAGAGCGATATCCCAGTCATGAGGACCAGAACCTGCCGCCACGAAACGAGATCGGTAGGTCCAGGTCCAGGTCCAGGTCCAGCAGTGTTCCAGGAGCTGAAACTCTACACACTTTAAATTGTGCATTTTCCCTTAGAAAATACATTTCTAAGGGTTTTTTTGTTTGTTTGTTTTTTTCAACATTTCAAATGCAAAGGACAGGGGAAATGTTCTGCATGCTTTTTCTTCATGAACCACACACACAGACACACACACACACTCTCTCTAGGTCCAGTATATAAAGACGTGGCAGCACATTTAGAGGAGCCTTCATTGAACTGATCCACTCTAAGGCTACATTACAGTGGCTTCTACAAGAGCCACTTGGCAGCAGCTGAAAAACCTCCTCCTCCTCCTCGTCCTCCTCCTCGTCCTCCTCCTCCTCCCCCTCCTGGTGATACAGCGTTGAAGTGGTTGAGAAGCTGCAGCCAATATAAAGGTGTTCTGTCCTTGGAGTGAATTGAGGACAGTCTGACGTCACAGATGAAGGGGCAGAGAAACAAACGTTCCAAAAGTTCCCAACTCTGTATCAAACCGTAAAAGTACGTTGTTGTGGTTCACTTTCCAAATGCTAAGCTAACAGCACGATTCCTGATGAAGTATGTTACACTTTTTTCCATTTGTTAAATTATTTACATGTACATTTTAATTAGAGTCAATAAAGAACAGGATCTGGCTTCAAATTACTGGTTCAAATTCCCACACTAGCAAGACTTTGGTGTGTTTAGGTTCACTAAAAAGCTACAGCCCACTGATACAGCCCACTGATACAGCCCACTGATGCTGCGTGGTCCGCTGTTAAACACTGGAGTGTTTCATTGATCGGTTAAATGTGCGAGTAAATTTTCCCAGAGGTGATTAAAAGAGTGCTAAAGAAAATGACACGTGAGCAGCCGGAAATGTAGAGCTCAGTTTTACTAATGTATTCCTTCTTTGACCTATAATTCCTGACCTTACTCTGTCCCTGCTCAGCAGATCCGCCCAGGAAGCGCGTGGACTCACCCATGCTGAGTCGTCACGGCAAACGGAGACCGGAGAGGAAGTCCATGGAGGTGCTGAGTGTCACAGAGGGCGGGTCTCCTGTGCCGGTACGGCGGGCCATAGACATGGCCACACATGGACAGAGGTGAGAGGTGCCAGTCAGCACATGTGTTCTGGAGCATGGTCCAGACATGCCTGGCACACAGAGGTCAGCCTTCTGGTACTAGTGTTGACTGTTGTTGTGAGTTCAAATAGACAATGTATTTAACTGCAGCTGATAAAAGTCCTGGGGAGGAGTTATAGTTCGGCAGCGCTTCATCAAAGTTGGATCAGTTCCTTCTGTGCAGATTTATGTCACACACACATCGTCTGCTCGCCCTCTGTACATCCCTCCTTTACTTATCTACACTTCAATTTGTCCTGGGCTGTAAATCCTCCCCAACTGCACGGAGCTGCACTCAAATACATGATGCATCGTTCTCATTGTGAACCCTGTAACAGAACCAGGAAAAGACAACAGTAAAAATTGGTCCAGATTGTCTTCTGCTCCGTAGTCTCAGTGGTGTTGCCAGGTTGTAAAACAGTTGCTAAACTGCATGAACCAGCCTCTGGGGTTTGTGCGTTGTATGAGTGAAGTAAGCATGGAGCATGCAGTCGACCAGGACGTGGAGCTCCTCAGGTAAAAGTCAGGCTACAATGAATGCTTCTGCATCACATCAGCAACAGGAAACTGGTCACTGGTCACTTTTTTAATGCACTTTTTAAAGGTAGAGTTTTTTCAGATTTAGTGCTGGTAACCTCAGAGCATGCAGCTCCAACTCTGTCAACCTCCTGAAGGGGGTGCTAAAAATCCAGGTGCATGAGATGCTCTGGTCGTGTGACGTGCAGAGGTTCAAAGGTCGTCAAGGCAACAGCAGCAAAAGCATTAGTTAAACAACATACCATTAATAATATCACTGGTCAGAAAGGTTTGTCTCTCAGCTCCATCTTAACCTGTTACTTTTTTCTTTTCACACCAATTCAAATGTCCTTTTTAAATTATGTATTTTTAATTAGTACCAGATCAAATGTTGCTGCGACTTGAGCATGATGCAGTTTTGTGTTTCTCGAATTTCGTTTCTTCTAATTTCCACTTTAATCCTTGCATGTGTTCGGTTTTAGTTTTGTTTTTTGTTTGGAGGCGACTGTTTTTTTGTACTACAGTGCTACATATGTGTGAAACTCAGTGATTTCTGTTTTGTTGGTTTTATTTGTGTTTGCTGCATGCTCTGTATCAGAGTTTTCCCCCTTATGTGACTGCACTTCTTTCTGTCTCCTGATTTTCTGTCTGCCCCCTTTTTAGCAAATCTGTTTTCAGTAAAAGCTTGGATATCACAAACACTAACTGCAGCAAGGAAGAAAGGTATTGGTTTTGCTTTAATTCTGTTTAATTCCTTGGTTTGAATGTACAGTCACGTCCTTTAGTTTTTGAACACTATTTGCTTTTTGCTACATTTTCTCACTTGTCTTTGTCTTTAAGTCGTGCATGTTGTTTCCAATTATTTACCAGCTTTGTTAGAAATAGCTCTGTTTCATAAAGAAGGCATTAATGTCAGAGAACATAAACACTAAGCCTCACTAATTAGACGATCTGTCCAGGAGTCTTCCCTTCTTTTACACACTTTTCATGCTAAATATGAACTAATCTTGATAATAAAAGGTGAGACAGAAATATAAATATAATTTTAAAAATAAAAAAACAAGTACATTTTATTGTATAGCATTTGTCTTAATGGTCTTCACTGTTTTAATTTCATAATTAAGGATATCCTCCTAAAAACCCATATAACATAACACATGGATGAGTATATCTACAGTTAGAATATAATTTAAGATTAAATTAATGATACAAAATAAGGCAGAATGAGTTTAAGGGTTAAGGAAGTGGACTTGACTCTGGAAGGTTTTCGGCTTTGAGTCCGTTGGTGATGGGTTAAAAGCAGAGGTCACGTTTCGTTTTGTTCAGTAGTGTGCTGTGTTGAAAACCAAATTAGATCCCAGACAAGTGTTCTGGCAACAGTGGGGAGAAAAAAAACCTTGGCGTTGTTGTCCGCCTCAGCTAGTAGAAGTGCTCCTTTGTTAGGAAATATATGGCTTGACTTTTCTGTTGAAGACTTTTCTGACTTTTCTGTTGAAGACATGTAGATCTGTCTGATCTCCACAACAGTGATGGAGGTGGAATAAGCAGCAGTGGTTTATAAGCCATAGTTGGTTATTATAGGGTTAGGGATTTTCACGCACAGGTTTTTTACGATCACCGAAAGAACCAAGACACAGCAGGTCATTCACTGAAACAACAACTAATGGCATCAGTTTGTCACTATAGATGGAGACATGTAGAAAATGATCCAGAGTTCTGTCACACAGCTCCCTCTGAAGTCACTCTCTCAGCCCTGCAGGGAGTGACTCCTCTCAGGTCAATGATTCTGTTTCCTCCTTCCCTTTGACCCAGTTTCACTCTTCAGTGGAGCTGAAGCTCTGTGCGTATTTGCATTTGTGTGTATATTTTCCCGCAATCTGTGAAATCTCCGACCTTCCTGTGTGGCACACTGTGTTGCTGGATGTGTGGTCGGAATGAAAATTAGCATAAGTTAATTAGCTGATGGAGCACAACAAAGGTTCCTACTCCTCCTCCTCCTCCTCCCACTAGTACAGCTTTATCTCTCATATCATCACTGTAAGATCCATAATGTAAAGCAGGCAGTGTTTTCTCCATAAGGCATCACTAATGTGGTTAATTATAGATTTCAGTGAAGAGTCCACCAGCCTCCTGCCTGTGGAACGTTAATGACGTCTTCAGTGTCTGACTGACAGGAAAACCTGTTTTGTCACCCAGGATATCTTATCATCATCATCAGTGATGAGGGACACTGTGGGTTTTCACCTGAAACATAAGGCGTTTGATAAATATCTAGGTATTTACAGAGCAGCTCATTAAACCGCCCTTAATGACATGCTGACAACTTTGGAGAGAAATGGTTATCAGTGGGTTTCTGACAAGATGGGTTAACCTTAATGACTTATCTGTACGTCTGTATGACGTTGATAGTGGTGACCGAAAAGATCACTACAGTTCTGTATTTGGGTCAACATCCAATAAAAGGCCACCTGTAGTAGTAACAGGAAGAAATCAATACCAGCTGTGAGAGTTACTGTGGATACACAAGTGATGCAATACCTGTGTATGTATGTCTTTCAAACCAAAGAGCAGTGAAGATATTTCTCTCATTCATTCATTTTTTCCCCCTCAAAAACCCATGTGTACATCCAAATGCAGGACTGCATTTTTGACATTTACAACAGTACTCCCTGAGCACACATGGATCAAGCTAAACAAACAGAATCTCTCTCTCTCTCTCTCTCTCTCGAGCTGTCAGTGTTTCTTCTGTCATCTGAATCTGCAGTAAAACATGGAGTAACAGTTTTGTTTAGTTTGTTTGGTTTATTTTTGATAAAAATGAGCAGAAGCTCTTGTGCATCATACAGTTCAGCTGTGACTGATGGACATGGAGAGGACAAAGCGACAGGCACTCAACATGAAAACCACTGTTGATCAAACACACAGCTCCACTGGCTGAAATCAACATGGAATTTCACGTTTTAACACAGAACAGCAGCAGTGGTGGCGCCAGCCCAGCTAATTCATTGTCAAATAAATAAATGTTAGTGCTGTGGTGGTAGGACTGTAGTTACCAGTTCAGTTAGACGTCTGTATCGTGTCGATGTAACTGTGACATCACAGCGCTCAGTAATCAACCATAACTGATAAAGAGAGGGGAAAAAAACTGTAGACATGACATGTTTGTTGTATGACTTTTTGTTTGTTTTTTTTTAGAAATTGAGACGATGAAAGAATAAATCCTCAACTAAAAATCATAAATAAATCAAATTGATCATTTCATTTCTGCAGAGAAAAGTGTAAAAATGTGGGAAAGTTTTGGAAGAACACAAGCGCCGTTTAGACTAAATGTCATTTTGTGTGGGAACTAATATTAGTGTGTACATTAGCTGTAAGAGTGTGAGTGTGTGTGTGTGTGTGTGCTGTCAAGTTTAGTATGATTTAGTGTTTTTATTTTATTCACTTCCAACTAAACAAAATTGAATTGGCCACGGATAATTAATTCCGGAAGCCTCCGAGACATGAGGCCTGTCGAGTGTTTCTGTTTAGGGTGTGTGTGTTTCTGTGTGCAGGTGTTTGGCAAAACAGAAAATTGTAAGAAAACAGAAGTTAATGGCATGGACGTGTAACCTAAAATCGAAAAAACTTGAGTGTTGAAAAAACACAGAAGTGCTAATTAATTTTGCAGCTGTGATGTGCGTCGGCACGCCTGTTCCCGCCGCTGCTGTTGGTGTCAGCGGGATGGTGTTGTGTGTCTTTGCAGGGTTTTGTGTGTGTGTGTGTTTGTGTACCATGTACTCATAGTGAGTGTACTGTAGTCCTGCACTGTTCCTGTGTATTCAAGGCTCCTGGATATTGATCTGTGTGTGTGTTTGTGTGTAGATCGCGATCGATCAGCGGAGCATCCTCAGGTCTGTCCACCAGTCCTCTCAGCAGTCCCAGGGTAAGTGTTTGTTTCTGATTGGTTCCCTCCCCCCACACTTCACTGGCTCTGCTGCTATGCTGTCACGCCCACACCTCAGAGATCCTTCACTCCAGCCCATCATCTGCAGACACTACTGTACACGCACACAACTGTGAAGTTCATTAAGAGCTGCTGAGGTCTACAGTCCAGGTGCAGGTGGAGCCAGCGGTGCTCAGTCGATTGGTTTAGTTTACAATTACCATTGTTTGAGCACCAACAGACCTGGAGGAGGAGCGTGAGAAGACAGAGACACAGTGATAATTATAATACCATCAGTATTTCTGATGCAAAGCCCCTATTACTGAACCATTACTTATAAATCATAACCCAGCATGCAGGTTCTCAGGAAGTTTTACATCCGCAAATTTGGTAGCTGTGTATATAAGGTCAAGGCATTGATTTGGGGAATATCTAGTGAATTAATTTAAACATGTAAAAAAAAAATTAGCATGTAATATTTAGTGTGTTCTTTATAGTATCCTCTCATATGCTAGATGTGACACATCATATGCAGGTTCACATGACACATAAGTATTTTGCAGGTCGACACAATTGAAATTGTACATGCCTTCCTTTCAATATTGTGTGATTTAAACTTTTTTTTCACAGAAATATTTAGCCTTGAACCTTTATGGGGTCTAACCATACATTAGGACACAGTAAAAACTGTACCTCACTTTGTAATGTATAGAGGTCATAACAGATCCTAGACTACATTTGGGCTCAGTCAGTGCTGCCTGCTTTTATTTATACAGATGTGTCATAATTCTAATTAGTCTCTGTCTTTTCTATGTAAGTGATTTGACATTATGAAGATGAACTACCACCTGCCATTCCATCATCAAGGTCATTGTTCGACCTCAGCTGTAGACACTGTTCACTCAGGCTAGGCTAAACGTCACAAGGCTTTCTAGATGAAGTGGGCCTGGGACTATCAGAGGCCAAACACTGAACCCTAGATGAAGTCCGGTGATTTAATGTCACACAGGACAGGTTCGGGCACAGCAGCAGGTTAGCTGAAGAAGCAATACATCACTGTGTGAGAAAATGCTGCAGCTGCAGCTGCAGAGGAAAAATACAGAGATTGACTGAACCAAATCAACTTCCTCTTTGAGGAAAATGGTGCATTTTTAAAGCGTATCCGCAGCGGATTGGTTTCCACAGGAGGACACGTTAAGATTTGAATGTATGATTTCTGTTTCTTTGCTCATGTTTCCAGAAATGTGTTTTCTGTGAACAGTCTGACACGGGTGGCTGTTTCACTGTTTTATCTGCTCATTCATTCACGTCCATACAGCATTGTGCACCAGCACTGTGCATGCACTCTGCAGGGCAAAGCTAAATTTGTTAGCTTTTTAGCTGTTTCACTCACTGGTTTATTAGGGATGCACCGACGTGTCAGCCAGTGTCATGTTGTGTCAAATGAAGTCTTTGCCTAAAGGGAATGTAAAGTTAATGATGCTGAATGCATTGTATCATTGTCCTGTAATTAAGAGCTGAGCTGCATCTGGCTCAGTACGCTGAACACTAGAGAAGGGTCAGGTGACGGAGGATTCACACAAAAATACTTTTTACAATAACTTATTTTTAAATCTTGACCTAAGAAGGGTGACGAATGTGTCCGAATAATTTTAGTCTCGGTGCATCCCTACTGTAAATTGTGTCATCGGTGTTCCACTGCTGCCTCCTGATTGGCTGATCACTGAGCTAATCGCATGTTCTGTTTTCTTTCTTTCTTGCACTCTCACCACTTCCTGCCTGCTCCACCCCTCAACCCATCTGCCACGCTCCTTCTTTTTGTTTTTCCTGCTGTGTTTTTGTGGGAATGACCCTTTATTGGGTGCTGGTGTACCACTGGCTGTGGCCTGGCTTTGTATTTGAATTTCCCTGTCATCCTGTATTGGGTGCATGAACAATCGCAGCCCACTCGGCGGTTTTTCATCCCACCTCAGTCCCCTGATCTATGTCAGTCCCCCAACTGCAGCCCCTCCCGCTCCCCTGAGGTTCGCCTTAATGGGGTGGGGCCTCGTACGCCCAATTCCTACCAGCCTAAGATGGGCTCCCCCCTCATGCACCCACGCACACAGACTCTTCCTGCCAAGCCCAAAGTGTCAGACAAGCCCCTGCAAACAACCAGATCAAACCCCCTTCCAAACTCAGCTCAGACGCCCACCACCCCCAAATCTGAGCCCTCCACCCCCATACAACCCCTTGCTCCCTGTATCCCCAACAGCCCACGGGTGAGGCGCCACCCACCCCTGACCGTTGCCCCGAAACTCTCTATTCCTCTCTCCCCCGTCCCACCTATGTCCCCCCTCCGCCGTCACCGCCTCCACCCTGACCACAACGGCAAATCTGTCCCCACAACACAGGTGACCCCTCACCCCTCCCCAAGAGGAAGCCCACTCCCCACCCCCAAAGGCACCCCGGTACACACGCCCAAAGACAGCCCGGCCGGAACTCCCAGCCCGACGCCCCCACCGAGCCCTTCTATTGGTGGGATGCCCTGGAGGACACGTCTCAACTCCATCAAGAACAGCTTTCTGGGCTCGCCACGCTTTCACCGTAGGAAAATGCAAGGTACGGGTGTGCTGGAGAAGAGAGGGAGTCACGGGAGATCTGGTCTGAGATCTGTCAATACCAGACAAAAGCTTTTCGTTTTCAGGTCATAGAATATGTCAACCTCCACGGAGAAAAACTACTACAGATATTTCACAGTTCAGTGATTTATAGTTTGTAATACTCACCAATATACAGTAAGAATAAAAGGATGAAATATCTGTATTTATGAGCCAAGTCTCTTGGCCATACTACAGATCAGTATTACTATTTTATAGAGGCTTTGTTGACTATTAAAATGTATATATTATTATATATGTATTTAGAGTATATATATAAATCTGCATTCAGGTGTAGGAAAAGCACCGTGTACGTATTGCACGTACGGCGAGTGGCTCGTCATTGATTAATAGAATGACATGATGTAACGTTGTGACCTCTGACCTGTGTACAGTGCCCACCCAGGAGGACATGTCCAGTCTCACTCCAGACTCCTCTCCAGAGTGAGTAACATAATTCCCTACAGGGAGGTCAGGGAAATGTCACATGTCTGTGAAATGTTGTACTGTTTGTTAAAGACAGGACTGTGATTCACATGTCGTACACAGTACACAGTACACAGTACACAGTACACAGTACACAACCACTGCAGTCACATTTTGAAAAAGTTCATGATGCAGTTTTACTGAGGTTCTCTCCACTGTCTGCTGTGTCCCTGCTCCTCTTCGCAGACTGGCTAAGAAGTCGTGGTTTGGAAACTTCATCAACCTGGAGAAAGAAGAGCAGATCTTCATCGTGATCAAAGACAAACCACTCAGCTCCATCAAGGCTGACATCGTCCACGCCTTTCTCTCAGTGAGTAGTTTCTCCCCCACTGACCACACACTACAGCTACAGCTCTGTCTGTGGCCCTGAAGAGGACTGAGAGATGAAATGATGACTGTTTATGTGCAAGTGGATGCTGAAGTAGAATTTGTTCATCCACCTGGATCATCCACCTGCTCACAGACCCCGTCTCTTTCAGATCCCTAGTCTTAGCCACAGCGTCATCTCCCAGACCAGTTTCCGGGCGGAGTACAAGTCCACGGCCGGTCCGACGGTTTTCCAAAAGCCTGTGAAGTTCCAGGTGGACATCACCTACACCGAGAGCTCCAGCGCCACCAAGGAGAACGGCATCTACTCAGTGACCTTCACCCTGCTCTCAGGTTAGCATGGGAGATTTCCTCAGCATGTCTCATATAGATGTATTTTCCAAACTTTTAATTTCTGCCACTTTGGTGTGACCAGGATTATTTGTTACAGTTTGGCTTTGATACTACTTTGATACTATTGGGTAAATATTACTGGCAATATCAAGGGTGTTTGATTATGATGTTAAATGTGCTGCTTGTGCTGGATCCGTTTTTTTACACAACTGTACATCCAATAAATCCAATATTTGACAGTAATTAGATTTAATTATTTAAATTTGTACATTTCAAAAATATTGAGCAAAATATTATACGGCTCAAATGTGAAATATCTCAAGCATCTTATCCAGAATATTGTGCAGTAAATCATAACTTACATCTACCTATAGGACTGTAACACTCACAATACAATATAGTCATGATTTATGGTTCACAATATGATTTTATCACAATGTTTTTGAAAAAAAATCTCCAGACAAGTGATGACCAAACCATTCATATGACCATTACCAACTGAAATGGTCAGACAGTGGGTCTGTGGAAGAAGTTCTCCCCACCTTCTGTACTAGAGTGTGTAGTCTGCTGGTCCTGACCTCCTGAGGCTAACGTTCCTTACACCCTGATGCGCGATTCATTTTTGCCACACATTTGTATCGACTTTTATCCGATTCACGATGCATGGTTACCTCCCCATCTGTACCTACCTCCCTGTAAAGAGCCGCTCCCTCTTCCTCAGGGCCCAGCCGTCGTTTCAAGCGTGTGGTGGAGACCATCCAGGCTCAGCTGCTCAGCACCAATGACCAGCCCGGCGTCCAGCCGCAGATCTCTGGTAAGTGCTTCCCCTCCTCCATCCTTGACTACGCCTAAGCCCCTACCCCCGCCCTCTCACGGCCTCCACATTCTCACAGCCTCCTTCACCCCCCCAACCCCCTCCCTCACACGCTGCACCCCTGGCATCCCTGGCACAACTGTCCGACAGCAGAGCCACGCCCCACCGCACACCTCGGCTCAGAACCACTCGGCTCCCCTCGGCTCAGCACAGCACACTGCTTTTAGCATCTCCACGTGCATGTCCCTGCCACATACCATGGCGTGCACGTACACACAGCTCATGGTGACTTTATCTATTAAGTTGTCTGGCTGATTACTGCCACTCAGGAGCTGTACGTCAAACTGTCATGTAGGCTTGGCAGAGCAGCTTAGTGTCTGAGTCATCAGGAAACACACTGGACGGGTTTTTTTCTCTCAGACTCATAACACAACTTCACTTTTAAGGATTTGAACTTAGGTCAGACAGTTTGCTGTGTCTGAGTGAAGAAGAGCACAAAGATGAAAGGGCTGGAATCCTGTCAGATGATTGGCTGACAAACGGTGTTTTTGTTGACATTAGAATCACCGGGCTGCCTATAGAGAAAGAGACAGATGGACGGGTTTGGAAGAATGTAAGAAAAGAGAGCGATTGTGTTCCACAGCGGTGTTCTAGTGTTTGTTTCTGTTGTTGTATGTGGTTATTTACGTGATCATGGTCCCCTCTGGTGGTGAGCCTGGGTAACTACAAGTAAAACAAAATCTGCAGGCGTAGTGACAATTTTAGGGGGGAAGAAAAAAAAATTAGACTGAGTCAGGTTAGACTAATGTGGATTTGTATGTTTACAACAAAAGCATTTAACAACAAGGAATTAAAATTGATTTCTTAATAGTAACAGTAATATAACCATATCCAAGAAAAACTTGTATGTAACTAATTTGACCTTTGTGATTGAATAATAATAATTATTATTATTAAAATTATATTATTATTAACTATACCAGAAAAACTAAATATTATCTTTTATATATATATATATAAGAATTTAGTTTGGGTTGCTCAGAGATTCCGATAAGTATTCTAAACAATACTGCAATTTTAGTAAAATGGTTATCTATAAAATAGTAAGAAATTCATGAAAAGATGAAATGTGAAATATTTTTATTTATTATATTATATTATTATATTTTTTTTATATAAAACTCTAGTCATACTGCAAAGGTGCAAAAATTGTGATGTCAGACAACTTTTTGACGAATCACAAACCATAGTGCTGAGCTTTAGTCTGCCTCTGTGTAAGAGATTTAGTATGATTATTCACCAATTATTTTCAGCTATGAAAAATCAGTCTCCGTATGAACAGCCAGTGTGTAAGAATCTAAACTTTCAGGTCATTAACCAGTAACAACTGTGTCTGCTCAACCTGAACCTCCACCACCATGAGGATGAGCATGTAACCACCGCCTCGTGTACCTGTGCCCCTCTCAGTTTGTCCCGGTCTAACCTCTGACCTTTCTGCTCCTCTGGCTGCCTCCTCTGCCACCCTGCTTTTTGTCATCCTCAGCTTTACTCCTCACACCACTCCGATGAAATGAAAAACTTGCATGTCGAATGAAATCCCAACCCAGAACCATGCACACACACTGACACTGACAGGGCTTCACTCACACACACACACATACTGTGTGTGTGTGTGTGTGTGTGTGTGTCTTGATGGTTCTGTATGAGATGCGTCATGCACTGAACTGAAACAGCATGTTGTGTCTGTGTATGTGACAGTGACAGTGAGGAAACTCACAGACGCACAACACATGATTGTGTTTTCTGTTGTTTGATCAGGTTGCATTTGACCCAAAGACAGAAAGGAGTGTGTATTTGTGTGTGTATGTGTGCGTGTGTGGGGAACCGGATGATCAGTCAGTCTGGCAGAGTTTCCTTCACTACCTTCAGTACTGCATGATGGAGCTTTACTGATTTAAAGTACCTCGTACTGTCTGTCCCTGTGTCCTGTAAAAATGCAACCGTTGATACTTTGGTTTTTTTTAATTACATGGTTATATTACACATGATTAACTTGAAAAAGTGCAAGATTGTGAGTCAGTTGTATCCTACTTTTTTCAATTATTATTTAAACTATTAATTATTTTAATAAATTATAATTATTTACAAATTACATTGACAAACAACAACTTACTTTCATAATTCACTAATTTTGGTAACATGAGGTCAGACTTCACAGACTGTACTTAAATATGTACAGTAGAATGTGTCCTTTTTTTATAAAATATGTAAACATTTTAAATAAAACTAAAATAATAAAATAAATATAAGTAATAAATATTTGGTAACACAGTTGTTGCAACTGTATCAAAACTCTTGGAGATTTATTTTTTACTCAGACCAAAGGTTTCTCAAAACTACATAGAATCTGCTTCACACCTGTCTGTTTACTGAGTCCATTCTCCAGTAGCTGGATACGTCAGGTCTTAGCGCAGAAATGTAGGAGTGAAGGAAAAACGAAAACTCTGTAAAACAGGCAGTGTATTTGAAGTTGAACTTCAGAGGAGCAGAGTTTGGATGTCAACTCCTGACACTGTCCTCTGCTCTCAGATGGCTCTCAGTGCTCAGCGTCTCTGTCCAGTAAACCCTCCAGGCGTGGTAAGAAGAAGAGGAGAGAGTCAACAACGTGAAAAAAAAAACACTTAAAAAAACTTAAAAAACTGTGGCTTTTTAACTCACACTCACACGGCAACACCACATTGTCACACTAACATGTGTGTGTGGGGGCAGGGAAGGTGACAGGTGTGAGATCATATTCATCTTATCAAGGATAAATAACAACATACAGTAGGTGAAAAAAATGAACACATTGGGACTCGGCTGTTTTTATAGTAAAAAGCTAATAACTATCACTGATTAAGAAGCTGTACAATGACAAACTAATGACCCTCTTGCCTTAGGTTTTTGCCAGTATCATTGGTGCCCTTCAAGTTCTCAAGGTCTCCTCACATCAATAAAATAGAAATATGCAGTATGTCAAGTTTAAAAAAAAGAAAAGAAAAAACTTATATTAGTAAAAAAAAATCATTATTTGCTACAAAGTTCTATTTGGTTCCTGGATCCCTTCCCTCCAGAGGCTCCTGTATTTTGTATTCAAAATCTACAGCACTTGCTGCCCTAAGATTTTAGGCAAAATATCTGTATCTCCCTCTGGTGGTGGATTATATTACAGGACATGCATTTAAATACATCTGTAGATGTATGTAATTTCCTATCCTATAATTAAAAAAAATAACTATAAAAATGGTTTGAAAATTGTAATGCCTTGATACGATGAATGTGTGTTTCTGAAAAATGTGAGTGACACTAATCTGACCTCAGTGGCCCTTTGCATGATGCTTGCTAACCACTGAAACCTAAAACGTATCATCACTTGTATCACACACACACACACACACACACACAAACCTTCCCTACACACACGTGCATATGCTTACCTATCACTGTACTGTGAAACATGAATGATGGTAATAATGACTCTCAGCTGAGTGTGCGCTAATAAAAATCAACTGATCAGTAACGGTGACAGGTCGTGTCACTGCGCCAGGAAACACAGATTGAAAACTAACCCTGCGACTGTGTATTGATGTCTGCTCAGTGCAATGTTGTTGCTGCATGTGTGGATTCACCCATGACTATTTCACCACGGCATCATGTTTGTGTAAACGGATGGATTTTGTTGTGATGGATGTTGATGTGATGGAGAGTCAGGAGGAAGCTTTGAAGGACACTGGTGCATCATAAACAATGAAGAAGTACCTCAAAGATCCTTAGACCTGGGCTGTGAGAAGACTGAAAAAATAATATAGGATCATGAAAACACTCAAGTGGGAAATCAGTATATCTTAACTTAACTTATCACACAAAAATCTTTTAAAATTAACATAAATATTGTAAAAGCCAGCAAAAGTGTCAACTAAAATGAAACAGATTCAATTCTAACCTCAAATCTCAAAATCGCACTGTCAAAATAATATGTTAGTTGTGTTTATTCACTTTATTATTATTTACATTCAAAATTAATAGATCATGTAAAACCCTCAACTATGGCTGTCAATCAATTAAGAAGAGGTATCTGTGGCTTGATTTCGATTATTCATGATTAATCATATACGTCTTTTACCGATGTTTGTTATTGTTTTTCTAGTCCAGCAATTTACAGAAAAACATTTTTTGGTCATATTTAGAAATGTGGATTTGACTTGATCAGTAATGATTAATCCTGATTCATATAAATCATAATATATTGTGATTCTGCAATGTTCTATTGACAGCCCTACAAGAAATGTCAAACTAGTAGCCCAAAAAATTGTCTACAAATGGTATTAATAAGGGTTTACTGAATATATCCCTGAATGTAAATTATTTAGCCTTTACCTGGATTCTGCACAAACAAGAAAACAAGATTTCTATTTTTTAAGGTGTCCTTCAGTTCTCCTGTTGGTTCTCCACCAGGCTGGAGAAAGAGAGATTCTGAAGACCAGGTGTCTTCCCAGGTCAAAAAGGTCAAAACAGTCCAATCTACCTAACTGCTTTGGATAAGACGACCTGGAAGGTCAAAGGTCAACCTGACAATAGATTAAGAAATAATGCCTAAGAGAGACTGTGTTGGCTGATTAGGAGATCTGCCATCTCTCCTCCTGACCTGAATGACACTGACTTCTTCAAGAGCCTTCTCTTCTCCAGCTCTCCTCCTCTCATCCCTCCATCACTTCCTCTTCTCCTCACGTTAAACCTCATTGCTCATCTGTTGTTTGTTTTCTCCCTCTCTCTCTCTGTCTCTTTCTCCCGCTCCTTTCTCTATCTCTCTCTCTCTCTCTCTCTCTCTCTCTCTCTCTCTTGTCTCCTTTTTTCTCCCAATCTGTGTAGGCAGCCCGTTGAGTAACTTCTTTGACGTAATTAAACAGCTTTTTTCAGACGAGAAGAACATCCACTCCCCCGGCGCCCCGTCCACACCTAGCTCCCCCGCCAAGCATGCTCACGGCAGCAAGCCAAGCCAGGCCCCACCCAATGACTCTAAATGCCCCCCCAGCAAAGACAAAACAAAGATGGCTGCCAGCAACAGGACACAGGAACAACCTTAAGGAGCTGTAGCTGTGCATGTGTAGACGACAGCAGTTATCAGGTCATTAACCAGTGACAGAGAGCTGCTAACTCTGCCCTTTAGATAAGAGTGAAGATAAAGAGAAAACAAAATCTACAAATATACTTTTGCCTATAAATTTTGTACTGTATAACAGGAATGGATCTTTCAATTTAAGAGTCGAGCAGTATTTTACAATAAGTAGCAGATAAGTAGCTTTGTGGTCCCTGCCTCCCATCCCCTCTGCTGTGTCCTGGGGGGTCTTTCAGTGGGTGTGTGTCCTCCTCACATGTGTGACGGCTTCACTTGTCTCCCTCCCACCAGGGATCTTCCGTAATAACTATTAAAGCCTCGGCAGCTCCTCGGACTATGGCCAACTTAGGTACCACTCACACGGCCAGACACCGCCTCAGAAGATATGCCCACAGTGGGGGAGAAGACAGGCAGAAGGCCCTCCCTACTCCTTTCACTCCTTCCTCCCTTCTTCTCCAGCCGCATCAGTAGTCGCCCCACCGAACCAAACACAGAGATTCATCTGAAAAGAGTTGTAAAAAACAAAGAAAAAAAAAGCCTTAAGACAGTGAAGTTTGTCAGCCATGTACACGTGCGTCCACTTTTCTCTTTCTCCCACATGTACATAAACTCACACTCACAGTATGAACTGCTCCACACCAACAAACGTGACTTCTGCAGGATGTATTGACTTTAAACAGGAGCAGCAAGCCGTGGGAAGGACGTGGAGACCAGGAAAACAAACCAACGAACAACCAAACAAACGCCGGCTGGATTGTAATTCTGCTGAATTTCTGTGTGACCGACAGGTTGTTGTTTTTTTTAAGCCCTCTTTGATGGTGTTTCTGAAAAAAATGTTCTTAAAGTCCATCGTTTGGCCCTGTGATAAGGAGAGGAGTGATGTTGCAGAAATGAATTATTTTTTTGGGTTGTATAGACTTAATGATGGTGTGTATGTACAAAAGAAAATTGTAGCTATGATGTCTTTTTGTTGCCATATTTGGTCTTTTGTTCCGGCTCAGGTCCAGTCACAGCAGCATAGCAAAGTGTGGAAATCAACCCTGACAGTTGTTTACAAAGAGAGGCACAGCAGGGCTACTGCTCTACTGCTTTTATTTATACTGACATTTTTCTGAGAGGTGTTTTGAATGAAGTCATTCAGATTTATATGTTTTTCAATAGAACATGAGGTGCATTTGTAGATTATAACCTTATTGAGAAAAACACATGATAGGCTATGGCAGCTGAGTGGACACTACTGACCACTGACCACTAAAAATTTGAATGAAAATTATTGACAGTCACAGCAGAGGGACAGTGACAAACCCTTTGGAATAGATATTCTCTTCCTTTTCCTTGAGAGACAAAATGTTCCCCAAAATTCTAACTAATTTGTGAGTCACATGTATATGCTGGTAGCCTGCAGGCCAAATCACTGTTGCTGTAGCCTCTTGCAAGACCTGACACACTATTCATGTGACATTTAGAGTTATGGTTTGGGATACTTTGGGGGGGTTTCATTGACAAGAAGCTGTTCAGTGCTCAGTCTCCAAAAGAGACCAAAAAATTGGCTAAATTCACTGATTGAATTTTTGGTCTTCACAGGCATGAAAAGAAGGTTCTTCAGCAACCTCAAAACATTAGTTCCAGCAGTTCGAGGCCCAACGATTGTAGTATCAATGTATATCTGGTCAGAAAAGGCAACAAAAGTCAGAAGAGTTGCAGTCCTATTTTTCCAGATACATTTCATACTATTGTACTGTAGCCCAAAAGATTCAGCATTGCAAATGGATTATAATGTCCAAAACTAAATACTGTTTAATCTCAGAAAACATGATTGATGGACAATTTCTACATCTTGTTCTGGTGTGACTGGATCTCGTCAATAAAATAGTCTAATTTTGCACTTAGGGAAAATTAACATGAAGTCTGTGTTTTGTTTAACGATTTGTTTGTATTTTTGTTGTTTAAATTATCTGCAGGTTTCAGAAATTGTTGAACTGCTTTATGTATATTTTTGTACTTAATGTATTTTGTCCCTTTTTTCTCCTAATTTATTCTGTTATTTATAAGAAAGATGTAGAGAATGTTTCTCAATGTTCACTTATTTAAGAATATTTTTGTCAATTCTAAGTTATTTGATTACTGAGAAATCTTGAAGTTTGTTCCTTTTCCCCTACTTTTAAAAAGAGAAACACTGTAATATATGTTTGGGAGATGTTTTACTGTCATTTATGAATGTAGACGTAGCCTCTTTGAGAGGAACAAGCCCTTTGTTGATAACTGTCTGCCGCTTCCCCCACCCATGTGTATGAACTCGGATTTCACCAAACACTCTCTCTGTAAATACGCCAAGTTTACTGACAAGCTCATTGGAAAAACAAGGGGATTCCTACTCTTAGCTTTGACCTTGTACGGTTGTTTGCATGTTCAGCATTTGTCTTTTCTTTGCATGTCGTCTTTGGAATTTTTCTCCGTATCCCTTTCTCTTCACAGATGTTTACGTTATATACATGCATTTTTTCTTGTATTTAGTTGCCTTTAGTCCTCCACTCTCTGTTCTCTTGCCCCTTTTCCTGAATCTGGATTACTGTTATCACACAGTAACCGTGCAATGCATCCTCCTCCTCACTCATTCTCACTCAGAGCAGCTGGGTGGGCGCTGGATTATCAGAGACATCAATTAAAGCAATACCTTTCATTGTTCGCTTTCTCTATTTTCTACTGTGGGAATCCGGAGCACACAGAATGGACTCAGAGCACGGAGCGATACTACTGAGCAGGATAACCACTGACAATGTATTCCCTTGTGATGTTACTGTGAACAACTTCAGTGCTAAAGGAAATAAATCTGTTGACTTTCAACCTTTTTTTTTTCTTTCCCTTTGTTTTATTAATTTGTTGCTCAGACATAGACATTAAAGTATCACTCTTGTTTTGATGTTAAAACAGGACTGTGCTACCTTTTTTATGATTCAGTGGTACAATTGCCACAATTTGCCACAAACTTGTAAAAAGTGCCACATTCTCCTGTGATTATTTGACTTCAGACAAATGCACTACATTTTTACAAATACAAATAAACCTAATGTTTTTGTTTAGTGTCTCATAAAATCAAAATAATTATTTGTTGTTTAAATTAAGCTTTTTGTTAATGTTATTGTATGTTGCCCTATTGATATTAGGCTATTCAGCTATGCAACTCATTTAGTATTTTTCTAACCTTATTTATCAATAATCTGGTTGATATTTTTACAGACTGACTTCATTTGTGGTTCATTTTGAGCTATTTTTCTTTTTATTTCCTGTTTCTTTCCAACTATCCGTTTTTCTTACTGTTTTGGTTCAGCCATTTCTGAGCTAATATAATTTTGTTTGATTCAGCAAAATCACATTTAGTAAAGTTGTTGCAAAAATATACTTGTTTAAACATTCAAGTTCAATTGTTTTTGGTTAACCTTAAGCTATCACTAAATTAGATCAATGCAAATCTACTAGACAAGCCCTGCTGCATCTGTTCCATTAATATATCCATACAGAAGTCTTTAGAAGCATATTACAACAATTTCAGTTAAATATAGACATACACAAGTAATTGTAGTTTTAAAAAACGTGTTTCTGCTAAACCACTGTTTAACACAGTTGTTTATTTGTTGATTTGCATGTTGTCATGTTTTTATTTATTTTCTCTTTCAGAAACGGGTTCATCTAACAGCCTTCTATATTTGTTTTCCCTGGGACAAGGAGTGGCTGATGATTCCTCGGAACTCATGGCGCAATGCTTTCGGTAACCGCTTCCCAGAGCAGGAAGACTGCTGCCGAAGTTCGTATGCTGTTGGATGTGAAAAGCGTTGCACACAGATAAGGCTTTTTATTTAGGGACCAACAATAAACTCTTGTTAAATGGTCACAGTTACTACTTAACGTAGTGTTTAATTTTAGTTCTAATGAGAATTAGAATTAAGTTTTAAATCACAACAGATTTACGTATTGGTCATTTATAAATCGCAAAAGTACTAAAAATTATATTTAAGTTCAGATTCAATTTTGGCATAGAGCAAAGGCTCAGTTTCGTTGTATCCTTGTGGTACAATGACAATACAGACCATTAAATAAATTATATTACCATTCTTTATATTACCATTCTTATGCAGTCTGTTATAGAAACTCGCTTGGACCAATAGAAGATTTTTTTCTCTCTTTTTTCTATTGATTAAGACATACACATATGCTTCACAGAGTTTACTTAAGTTCGTATTTTAATTTGTGCTTTCTGTTATTTGGCCTAATGTTTGCTCTTTTTTAGTGATTTGTGTTACTCAGTGTTGCCTTATTTATTATTGTAAATCTTAACCGTGTTTGCATGGTTATTTGCGTTTTTATTCGATGAACACAAAATCGAATTACCTGTATGTGTAACCACACGCCATAATACAGTTCATTGTATAATAGAATAATACGTATTATGGAACATAACGTAGAATTTATTGAAAGGGTAAGTTGTAGATGTTCCCTAAATATCAACATAAAACGTACTTCGTGTTGCCTCACACTGGTTGGACAGTATTACCAGAACTCACCGCAAATAAGTTCATTACTCGTCTACGAAAAATATTTAGAGATCTACGTCGTCTCTAATCGACGCTCTAAATTATAAACTATTTTGGATTTAACGCAGCATCTTCGGTTTAGTTTGCTTCAAGGCGAAACAGCATGTTTTTTATCCTGTTGTTTTTAGGAAGGATCGCGGCAGCGACAGTTCTCGCTGGTTTGTATTCTGTTGTCATATAAACTGTTTTAAAATGCGTGTATTTTTTTTATAACCGTTTTAAACAGTGGTGTCGTTTTAAACAGAACATGGCAATAAAACGGGACTTCGTATGAACTGCACGAACGACGGTTGGGGCGAGATGTCTTGCGACTTGGACGCAGAAAACTGCACAGGACTTAACCTGATTCTAAAGACCCGCGTATACGATAAACATCGGTAATAAATCCGGTATTATCTCTTCGTAAGAATACAAAAACTTTGAATTAAAGTGGTTTTGAATGATTTTTTTTTCTTCAAATAGTTTTTTCTTCTGTTATAGCGCAGCCACAGTATAGCGTCATTCTCAGTCAAAAACAGTACGTCATTGTTATAAATTAAATATACAAAACAATTAGCTCTTTTTTAAATTACATTTTTAAAGCATATCGCCTGGTTTCAGGCTTACGGCAAGAGAAATTAGAATACATGTGTGGTAGAGAAGGTGGAGTGTGCTGAACGGTCAAACGGTGTTTACATCGCTTGACTTTACAACCAGTAGTAGTTAGTAAAGTTGGTATAAAAATATTTAAAGGATTCCAATGGGGCCCCTGTCAGATTCTTTGTAAATTTGATGTCTTTGGCAGTTAGTACCAGCTCCGATTCTGGTTCTGAAAAGAAACCAACCTATGTTATTTTTGTGTTGTATCCCACAGAACAAGCGAGTGTAAACCTACACAGTGTAGCAGTGGACGATGTTGTTGTTCTATTAAAATGATCATTGTTTTCGGGGAGAAGCACAATGCTACTGTGTGGAGAGACGGCCATAGACTGGAGTCCAAAATCATTGACATTTATAGTACCAGTAAGTTAAATTCATCAAAAGTACCAGGATACCAATAACCACGTAATTCCAAAACAAACCACACATATAGAGAAATAATTTACTTATTTTTTTTGTCTTTGCAGTAAAACCCAAACGTCCCGAAATCAGACCGGTAGAAGAAGTCAATGGAAAATTCCTAATTAAATGGAAAACAAATATGAAGGACTTATTGGATAGTGATTTGACTTCCAATGTTACATACTGGAAAAAAGGAGATACAAAGAAGGTACAAACACAGTCCCTGCTCTGTAAAACGGTCAACGGCTTTAAAGGTAAAATCATTTCTGAGATACACCTTTAAAATGTCTAAAATGTGTTTCTGTGTTGCAGGTTTCAATGACTGTTAAACCTGCCATCAGCAATGGACTGAAAATATATGAAATACATAGTCGGGAACTGGAGCCGAGCACTGATTATGTGGTCAGTGTTAAAAGTGACTTGAACAACATATTTAGTGAAAGCAGCGACGAAATGGAGTTTACAACCCGTAAGTTTATTATTATTATTGTCCTCATCAATGTTTTGGTTGCTGTTATTATTTTTAATTATTATTAACTGATTTTATATTCAATTAAACTTGTCTGGGTCTTTATCAAATCCAGTGGTTCTCAAACTCTGGTATGTGTACCGATGTCTGGACTTTGTGTCCCTTTTGTGGTACTTGGGTAAATCTGTTTTGGTTTTTTTTTGTACTTAGTTGTTAAATATAAATGTGTTTTGTGGTACTACTTAAATTGACATCATTGATTGTTGAATGTTTACAGAGAAATGTACCATTACATACCATTCCTTGTGGTATTTACTTTATTATCTTTAAATATGTGAGGGAACCTGCAAATATCTATTAGCATCTTACCACAACAGTGGCTGTGCTGCAGTTTTATCATTTTACACAGAATTATTTATATCTAACAAATATGACTAAATAAGTGCATTTATATTGTGTGGAATCACAGGAGAGGATTTGATCCTCCGGTGTTTTGACTTAGATCCAGGTTTAAGTGCGCAAACAGGCACTTCTCAAACTCAATACTGTCATATGTCACTTGTACTGAAGTAAATATTTAAACACTGACACTGTACATGTACCTGCACAGCTGCCTCCCCCAATAATGGGCTCAAAGTGGTCATGGCCAGTATCAGCGTCGTTGCAGTTGTTCTCAGCAGTCTAATATTTGGCTGTTTTTTCAAGTAAGTCACACGGATATGAGTTTCAACATCTTGTTCTCTGCTTTCTTAAAATGTATTTTGTCACAAATGTGAAGTTTGTGACATATTTCCTCTCTGCACTTTTCTTTAGAATAAAGAAAAAGTGGTGGGACGCTGGTGCCAGGTGGCCAGATTCAAAACTACTGGATATGAAATCAACTGAAGAAAAGGTGAGGCACACTGTACACACACGTACACTGGATGTTGTTGGATCAGCATAACATACTAAAAGTTACATTTTAAAGAGTCCTCACTTATGTGACTAGCTATAAGATTTGTGTTGTTAAGACAGAAACACACACAAAGAACCCATGTAAACCAAACACTGTAGCACTTGACAATGCTAATGCTAATTCACCACAGAAGTTTGCTGAAGCTAGAAATGGTTAGTTGGCTACATAAAGATTTAACTCCAACCAAACCAAAAATTGTTCAAATGAAACAGGTAGTCTACAAAAAACTCTGATCTGATTTTAATTTTTTTTTTAAAAATCCACTATTTTCTTTCTTTTTTTTTCAGTTGTTAAAGCCTGAACTGATCATCACCTCTGGTGTCCACATTGTGCCCGTTTTTGCAGATGACATTAAATCATATACGTAGGTGTTTCAACAGTTTCCTTTAATGTCATTACCTGTTACATCCTTTGAAATTTAACAATCTTTTCTCTGTGCTCAGGTCAAATGGGTCACTGATTGACTCCAGCGTTGACAAATACCAGCAAAGCAGTATAATGGGCTCTGGCTCCTCCAGTTTAGGTTATGCAAAAACAGAACCTGCTGATGTCGTGACCTGTGTTCACGAAGCCCTCGCTAAAGTTTTGCCCCATATCGTTTTGTCACCTTTGGGCAACAGCCTCACTAACAATGATGGCAATGTCCAGGTTGATGTCGCTAACAGTAAATTACTGAGCTTCACCAATATGACCTATTCAGGCTGCCCACCTCAGATTATGACAGACCTCCCTGAGTACCAGGAACATACTAGAATGTTTTATGACTCTGGTTACCATCCCAGTGAGGCTGAAGACATGGTGACAGCTGCTGATCACCAGCTTCTTTTTAATGTACAGCAAGTGGTTCAGTCTTTAGTGCCAGTAGACATGTCATATCAGCAGTGCAGCACAGATTCAGGGGTGTCCAGTTTGTCCTACAGCTCAAGCAACAATGCAAACGTTGAGACTGACAGCTTCAATGAGGGTCTCAGTTGGGAAATAAAGCAACATGGAAAAAGTCTAGAAGGTACCATGAGTGAAGAAAGTCCCTTCCTTGGCTGTTTGCACCCAGGACCCAAAAACATTCCTCTAGTGATTGACGACTACCAGGCTGTTTAGCAGCTTGTGGTGAAGCAGCTGTTGTTCTGAGATACCATGTTTCTGAGCTTTATAAATATTTCCAAATCGGTTTAGAAAGGCAGTAGAATGTTAAAGGCTTTTGATACTTCTAAATGTTGCCAACCCTATCTTTTCAACTGGTTACTATGATGAATACAACTTTTAGTATATGTGATATTGTTGGCAATTTAATTTGATCAAAACAAAAATGTGTATGATTTGAATAATAGGGGATCAAGGACTTCATCTTGAAGAACTCCACAGTTTACTTTTGTCTCTCAAAAAGGTGCATGTTATACTGTATGATGGTGGATGGATGGCAAAGCCAATCATTTAAGTCATTCCAAGCCAACTTTTGTGACCCACAACTGTAATACAAACTTCATAAGAAGAGCATTATTTTAAGAAAATGTTTCACAACACTGTTTTGTTTATCTTAAAACAAAATGACCATATGTGGCTACATGTGTATGGTAATTTGGATAAATGTGTGATAGGAATTTGCATATGTAAAATAAAGAGATGTCATTATTCTATATATAATAGAAAAGAAAGACTGGGTTATAGAGTGTACAACAACTAAAGGAGAAGATGTCACAGAATCAACCTTTACACACTATTGTCACTATGGTTTATGCCGTTCATCAGTTCAGGCCAGTTATTACTGCTGAATGTCTAGAAGACGGTGTTGCTTTTCTCTGTGATTATTGGCTTTATGGTTTATGAATGTTTAAGATATTTATTTTTGTTTCATGTTAAACACTTGCACCTTGTGTATATAAGTTATTTTTTGTGTGTTTTTTATGTCAAAACATCTTTTGACATAAAAAACATCTTATATATATCTTTTTGTATAAATGTGTATAATGTATAAGTGCGTCTGTTCCAGCTCTTGTAGATCTGAATGTGGCTGTTTTGTAACCAAATGGTTTTGAGTGTATGTTTGAGTGTAACAGCTGATTAAATTAAAGCACACGCTGCTGAGCAAAGAAGCCAAGTCACACCAGCTGCAGCACAGCGCTGACATACACAGTACTTATCAGTGTTATGAAATGACTTCCTCACAGCTCTTCTGAGGAGCTGTTTCAAGTTCATACAAATCCAAATAATGAGAAACAACTGACACTGCAAGTCATTGTGTTTCAGAATGATATATATATGTGTGTATATGTTTATATATATTAGCACTTAAGTGCAAACCTTTCTTTTATAATACTAAACGAGAGAAAGAAAAATAGAACACAGTTTAGGTTTGTATTTTCAAATAGTGTTGAATAAAATTTGAGGGGAAAATGTTCAGAAAACAATAATCTAATAATTTCATTATTACTTTATTTCCTTTATGTATAAATTATCAGGTTTGGCATCAGAACAATAATAATAGTAAAGAATAAGAATTGTAAAAATAAATATATTTTGATAAAGTTATAAATTCTGACTCAACTCTCAGAATTTTGATCCGTGAAGAGTTAATCCTAATCTAATAAAGTCAGATTTCTTAATTGTATAATTTAGTTATAATGACCATTTAAACTATTTAAAAATTAGAAGAAAACAACCCTTTGAAACAAACCTTGGGATTTTTTTTTTCTCTACCTTTACCCACTCCTGTCTGTGACTGGAATGGGTAACGGACAACAATATGCAGTATTTGCAGTATTTTCTGTAATGTGAGAAGCTACTTTAACGCCACTGGAGAAGATTATTGGAGGGACTGTGTTTTCGTTGATATGAAGAGTCCAGGGGAGGAGAAAGACTGACCTGTGATATAATCTGAACTCCTCACTCATCTTCATTCACTCACTGGCGCTTCATCCTGTGCCAAATCCAAAGTGAACAGTTTTTGCAGAACCTGACGTTCAGACTGCAGCATGCAGCACCAAGGACGGCTGAGGCTCAGGCCCTGGCTGGAGCAGCAGATTGAATCTGGGAGGTATCCAGGGGTCAGCTGGTTGGACCAGGTAGAAACCCAAACCTCATTTTATCTTCACACACTAACTTACACACTTTTTGGATCCACAGTTAGTTCCAGGTTCATGGATCGCAAATCGTTGTTTTATATGATTCTACAGACGGCACAAATCTTTCAAATCCCATGGACACATGCAGCTCGTCACGGCTGGAGCATCGATCGTGATGCCACACTTTTCAGGAGTTGGGCCATGCACACAGGTAAGATGCACGCACACAAACACACTGGTTTTTGTGCGTACCTCACATACACATTTTGCATTCTTTAGGCCAGGCCTCTGTAACTTTTAACAGCAAAAGAGCACGTTTGTATTTTATTCATTTTATTGATGGCAGTAGTGCAGCATATGAAGCTATTTCTACTTCTAACCAGACTGGTTTTAATGATGAAATTGACATTTATATACAGATGCAATATAATGGAATGAAACCCAAAACAACGAAATGGCAAATGACAATTTGAAATTACCTGATGCAATGGTTACCTTTCATAACAATTATTTGTCTCTACTATAAAACATGAGATCTCTATCTCTTTGTAAACCAGTAGTCATCACTTTGTTACATTTCTGTTCAACTCCTCTCACAGTGGCAAGACAACACTTCATTATCTTTGTAATATTTAAAGAACAATGACCCCAGAATTAGAATAACCTGAAAAGAGCACATGCACACACACACACACACATACACAAAAAACGTCTGTTTCCAGAAAGTCATGGTTCATGACATTAGTTGCATCACATCACATGACAGTCATCTACTGTGACTGTTGGAGCTGATCATGTTGCTGCTTGACAATAATGGAAATGATTCATCATCTATACATGAGACAGCAGTGGACTATGACTGGCAGAGGTTGATACCCCCCTCACCCCCTGCCCCATTTTCCTTCAATCATCCTTCTATATATGGGAGAAAATTAGAAAAAGTTGCCTTAAATTATTATTATTATTATTATTATTATTATTATTATTACTATTACTATTGTTACATATCTACCAGCTTAACAAGGAAACTTAAGTTGTCCAAAAGGTTTCTTAAAGTTAGCCAAGAAATGGCTAAAGGTTAGCTGAAAATCTATTAAAATGTAACTCCTGAAAGCTAAAAGCTAGTTAAACACCAACTAAAATGTTAGCAAAGAAATACCATAAGGTTCGCAAGAAGATAACCAGGGTAACCCACAAGTACTTCTATTTAATACTGTAGTATTATTGTAGCTGCAGCTTTTTTTCACACCAACTCAAACTTTTTTCTGCCTCACCTAAAACTGAACCTGACTTCCTTTTTAATTTACTTTTGAAGGAAAGGGAAAAAAAAGTCTCTTTACTGGTTTGTTGTAGGACGATACCGTCCAGGAAAAGACAACCCGGATCCAAAGACATGGAAAGCGAACTTCCGCTGTGCCTTGAATTCTTTGCCTGATGTCTGCGAGCTGCGGGAACAGAGCAGGAAGAGAGGCAACAATGCCTTCAAGGTCTACAGGATGCTGCCCAGCACACACACGCACAGACGCAGGCGAGGTAGGCAGGACCTGAGTGTGTGCTCTGTGCATCAGTACAGAACTTCATGATGTAAACCTTTAAGCAGCTTTGCTCCTGTATTTTATCTACATCCTCTATTCTACCAGGACTCAGCAGGACTAAAGACAGACGAGCCACCACGTCTCACACTTGGCAACCCACGATAACAGAAGTGTGTTCAAACACAGCAGAGAGGGTTGACCCTCCAGCAGAGGACATCTTCAGCAGCGGTCACACCTTTGGCAAGTTGGTTCTTATTGAGAATGTTGATTCCAAAATAGATGTTTCCTCTGTTAGGCTGGTAATGAGTATTTGTACTTTAATACAATACAGGCATATGGGAGGCCAAACAGGAGGAGCAGGAACAGAATGAGGCCGTGTTCAAGGTATTAAATACTGACAGATACTCACTAATTTTTGCTCATTGTCTTTTAATACCATCTACTGTGTCGTCTTCTGTTCTTTTCCAACTCAGTTAGTGGATCACTTAAACAACTCTGACCTCTGGAACCAAAGTGGAGAACAGAGAAAATGGAGAACACACACACTGTGGGACCAATGGAACTGTAGGACACTGTACATTACACACACTCTACAACCTTTGAGTTTGACACCAAAGAATACAAGGAATAGTTTTAAAGTTGGTAACTCTGTGCTGAAGCCATATGTCTACTTTGACTAGCATGTATTTTTTTTAATTGTTTGGAATATTCCAATAATTGCTATTGACAATAGCTCAGATATGACAAGTAATCCACTAAATTCATAAAGTTGAAAGACATTAAAAAACATTTTTTAAAAATGGACAAAACTCATCCAGAGAAAATAGTTTTTTAAAATGAATGTATATATAAACACTAGATGAAGCAGAAAGAAGAAAAAAAGGCAAGTAGATTAAATTTAAAAATACTAAAAATTAAAAAGTCCGCCGTGATGACGACGAAATATAATGAACACTTCGGTAAACGAATCAAAAGCAGGCAAAAATGTTAGGGCGGGACGAAGGGAGAAGAGAACCAATCAGAACAATTCACATTGCGACCGTAGACTAATCGTTCCAGAAGCAGAGCCACAGCTGCACCGCATGAAAGTATCAAAACTGGCGTCAGTCGTTAGCAGAGAGCGGCTACAATACACGCGAGTGCGAAGGTATGTTGTATAACAACTACAAACATCTCAGCGCAAGGTTTAGGACGAAAACGAATGACTGACATGTGGTCCCACTTCATTTGTGACTACTAGGACAGCAGGAGCCTCTGTGAACCGTGTAGAGCAAAAATCCTACTCATGTATGGGCTACTTGTTTTAGTGATTAATAGAGGGATAATTAATTTTGTGTGCAATGACATTTCAACGTGTATATTAATACTTTAAAATGATATTTTTGTGAGTATTTTCTAGGGTGATTTTGTTCAATTGTATTACAGCCAACAATGTTATTTTTACTTAATTTTGGGAGAATTGCCTTAAAACTCAAAACAATGCCGGAAGGCATTTAAAACAAAACATGAGTTGCATATTAAAGAACTGAATCCATTCACCATCATCCATGAATCATCAAATTGAATGATTCAAAATGGACGTACAACTGAAGAAACAACCATGTTAAGCATAGGTGAGTTGCATATGTACTTATGGACAGTATGTGAATTCCACCTTACAACAGAAATCGAGTTACGTCGCACTGTAGGAACCAAATTCCAATTTAGCTCAACGGTCAGTTGTGTACAGGAACTTCAGCCATACATTTCTGAGGCTTTAATGTTGTTTTCTGCTCTGCAGGTGCTGGTGAAGAAAACTCATACTGTCTACCCCCAGACAACAGCACTGATCTGTTTGGTTCAAACTACTTGAAGGAACTCTCTGACTGGTCCACAAACCAACAAACACTGATGCTGTAGCTGCACAACAAAACTTGGCGTTTTTCTTTTGCTGATGGCTGAGTAAAAATCTAACTGTCCGCTGAGTTTGCTTAGCTGAAGATCCGGTTCCAAGCCAAGCTTCACAGAGCGTCATCGTCAAATCACATGGGTTCAACTCTATGGTCCAGTGCCTTAAACTCACTGAGGTGACGCCAGGTTTACACCCCAGCTGCAGAGTCAACATGGATTAAATGTCAGTGCAGGATCAGTTACCCATCTTCAACTGATAGAGTACTGACAGAGTAAAATACATTATAGACAGGACACGTTTGTGTTTTTAGTGCTGAACCAGTTTTTGTTTTTGTCCAAACCTGTATGAAAATTGACCTTTTCATGTAATAGCATATGTTGTCTATAACGGGGGTTTCTGACCATTTTGCCACGGTAGATCATCCGGTGTCTCCAATATCACTTAAATTGTCTCTGTTTATCTATGCAACAGGCAGAACAATTAAATAAACGGCAGCAGATGGCTATAAAAACTAAAAATAGAGAGAGACTTGGAGCTGTTGTAGAAGATCTCCGTGGGCGACTTTCTTCAATTTCTGTGAGTACATCAGTGTTGTGTTCAATTAAACGGGCACGGGTTTCACACTGAGAAGATTGAGATTATATTGAAAAAATAAGATTATTATATTTTATAGCAGACACTATTTGTGACACTTTTTGTTCTGTGGTGCACTGTGGGTGTTTTTTAATGTAAAATCTGTGCCAAGGCTAAAATAAAATTAGAAAACACAGGCCTATAATCTAGTTTTTCTAGGACATTCTACTGTTCACTGTAGCGTAAAATCAAGGTTAAGGCTAGGGTAACAAAGAGCACCAGCAACCATGCATTGTTTTGATTGCACTTTTGTCATTACTGCACACATGATGACTGAGTAAACTTAATGAAAATAAACGTGTTAGTGTGTTTGACCATGTTTAACTGTAACAGTCCTTTTCATTTGTGTGTTTGTGTCTGACACATTACTCACTGCTGCATTAGCTGAAAAAATAAACTCACAATAACTCTCAAATATTACTTGTTTTCCATAAATAGATCATATAGCCTACAGGGTGAAAGAGGCCAGTGCTTCTGTCTTACAGCAAGATCAGCAGCTCAATGCCCAGTGGTATCTCATGTCCTCCCCAATTCTCCAGGTACCTTAAATGTTCACTCTGAACTGACCAAATGTATGAGTGTGAATGGTTGTTGTCTGTTTGTGTGACTCTGTGTTGAACTGATGTTCTGCCACTATCTGATGAACAAATAACGCATGTCCTGCATTGCTTCAAAGTCATAAAAAACCCCAAAAACAGAGGCTCAGTTAACAGAGAAGTGATCTTATGACATTTGACCACGCCACTGTTATTGCAAAAACACAGCTGTGACAGAGATGATGAAAGGTTATTAGAAATACTTCCTGCACATAACACTAAAAGAATTTCTTCAAAATAATCAAATGTATTTAATTTTTTTCTTACAAGAATTAACCTTGGATTTGAAGTTGGTTATCTGTTTCCAATATTAATTAATCTGGAAATTATGTGATCATCGGTAAGACCAAAAAATAACAAATTAAAACTAAGTTAAAAAAATATGTAACCCTGTGTATTTCAACCAAACAAACGACAGGTTTTAACATGAGACACAGAAACAATAGCATTGCCTACTCTGAAGTATGGACTCCTTCCCCCAGCCTCAGAACAAAACAAGATACAGTGTGTAATTTGTGAACATGTAATATTTATTTCTCATTATTTAATATGAAAAATGACGACAACAGAGTTCCCTCAGAATAGAATCACATTTGGTAGATTCTCAGAGAAAAAACACATTTTCAAAACTTTACTATATATACAGGAAAAGAAAACAAAGTAAGAATGACCCTGAACCATTGATCCTTTGTGGTTGTAACTAATTTACAATCTTTAAAAACAATTTGTTGACAGGAATCTCAGAGGAAAAGACAAATCTTTTACGTCACATTCAAGCAGTCAAACAGCACAGCCTGCTGGTCACATCATCATATTGCAAATCCGATGCAAATCAGGATGAATGGACATAAGTGAACAGCATTCAACCCAAAGCCGGAAAAATATACAGTACACCAGTGAGTCTGTACACGAGGACAGTTTTCTATACATAAATCAACAGGGTAACATTTGAACCAAACACCAGACCAGATGTATGACAATCATATCATTAAAGCTGAAGATTGGAGAAATAGTTCTGACCATTTTAAGGCTGCAAATGTGAGGTTGTGTAAAGCAGTATTTTCCTTAAAGAGATAAGTCTGGTTTAATGAACAGCATACAACAATCGTTTTAACAGAGTTGTACTAAATAAAAATAATACTTTCATGTTCTGCCGCTGAATCACATCACCCACGTGGAGGAACAACAGTCACATGATCACAGATAGAGAGCTGCTGGTTCTTTAGCACCTCTGAACTCTCATCAATCCAACGATCAATTACTTTATGTTTCAGTGACGACATGTGCAGGGATGAATAGCGGCTATGGTAGCTTATAACTAATATTACAACATTAGAGATGAATTTTTTTTTTTTTACAAAATAGTTTTAGCATCTTGTTCCTTTTATTTTAACACTGAACACATTTAATTAAACACCACTGTGAGCGTAGGTGAAACTTTATTTTTAGAATCTGTCGACTTTAGACTTTTAAAGAATAAATGGGACCACTACGACATGAGGGGGGCCAAAATTGTTTCTGCCAAAATGGCAAGCGAAAAATAAAAAAAGATTCATGGCAAAATAAATTGGCAACAAATACAAAGCAAAAATACAAAAACTGTCCTGGCAAATGAAAGACAATGAATCAATGATCACAAACCTGATCCCAGTGGTAATGGCATTATGTTCAAGTTTAACCACTTTAACAAGCTTTGGAAAAAAGAAAAGAAAGAAATGTGTATAAAAATATGAATCTGTTTTAAAGCTAAATCAAAGTGATAAAACAAATAAAACATGACTTCAGAAGGCAGATTAGGAAGGACATAGTTTATTAAAATTCTATAAGCTTTAAACTAAATGGAAATTCTCTCTATATACTTTTTTTTAAAATAGTTGAAATCAATGCAAAATTCCTAAGCGAGTGTGAGTGTACAACGTCCAGTGTGATCTACGCGTTTCAAGTTTCTCACAGAACAGTCATCTTCCAACCCTGAAACCCACTCGGAGCAGGCGAGTGTTTTTCAGTGGAAAGCGATGAATCTGCCACTATTTCTTTTGCTACCTGTCCTTTGATAAACCTCTGAGTAGTACAGACAGGAACTGAACGTTCCACATGTCCAGTGTGGCCCAGCCACCTGAGGTCCGTTTACAAATTTAGATAATAAATACAGGCATTCAAATGGGCTACGACAGCAAAATATTTCTGAAAATAGTTCTCCACATGCGTGCACGCTCGCTCGCTCGCACACACACACACACTCACACACAAGCACACCTTCGACTGAGATTCATGAGCTTCTCTGAACCCTCTTATCCTCTATCGACAGTTCATCTTTACAGTGCAACAGTATGGCAGCAAATGGACAGCAGTGCTTTCATTTAAAAAATGAAAAGGAATGGAAAATAAAAAACATATATACACATGACATTATGGAAACAAAAGCAGTAGTTTCATCTTTTGGTCCTGCATCCATCATAAACAGAACTGCTTTTTGGAAAACACTTCCTCAAATCATTGACAGTAGTCTGTGAAGACTGAAGGGCTGTGAATGGACAGAACGATGCACAGGAGTTAAAGTTGTCAAATGTGTCGGCCTTAAATGAGTTTCCTAGTTTATCTTTTCATTAGCATTATGGTTAACTTTGTTGTTAGCATTCAACAAAAGAGATGGAAATAAGTCAAACAGTCCAGTGTGAATGATGGGAATACTGACAGTAAAGACACATACATGGGTTTGCTCTAGTTTGTTTCATGACACATTGTGGGTGCAGTCATGTTTGAGGAAAATCAGTATATTTACCATCATTCTACTGTTAAAACTACAATGATAATATCTGCAAAAGGGTAAAACACTTACCGTGTTATAACTGTGAACCTTCAGAACCCGAGTGCGCATAGCCGCCTTTAGATTTCATCTGGGCCTGGACAAGGTCAACCTACAGAGAAGCAAGATTTAGAAAAAAAAAGGTTGAGTTGAAGTAAATCATATGTCTGCAAAACCTGGTTGGGTTGATATTTTACACGTAAGCCATATAAAAAAAAAAACCTACTGAGGCCAATCCTAATCCCATGTCCCCGGAGCCTACATGTGTCGTGTGAACAAAGTTTGTTGGCTCTCCAATCATTGAGCGATCGATTCGTCGCCTTCGTTTCTGAAAAACAGCATCACGTGGTTTATAATACATGCAATAAATAACAATGTTAACTAGGACTGAGGAAAATGCATTATGCTAATATGAGTTTCATGGTTTTAGGTACGGTGCAATGTGATTTGGGTGGCGACTGCTGCCCCCGAAACCCGGTAACGGATAAGCGGATGAAAATGGATGGATGGATGGAGTTTCATGGTTCTGGTACAGTTTTCATGTCCCTCTTTTTTTTCATTTTCTATTAGACACTCAAAGAAAATACAGTAAATATACAAGTACAGGCAGAAGCCATTGTTCTATGGAGGAGGCCTTTATAAAGTTGACTTCTGACAAATTATCACAGACTTCCTTCAGCAGTTGCCACTTATTCTTTACGGCTGGCCTTCAACATATCTTTCTGTGAAAGTAGTTTCCTGCCCTCTGACCTTCCACAAAGACCAGTTCTGATAAAGCCTCTATGAACTGGAGTGGGGTCAGGCCTCATTTCACACAAGCTTCGAGGTGTCAGTCTCCTCAAGAATAAATTGTGAGGAAACTCTTATCAGGTTTTGAAAGTTTGCATACATTTCCTGTTTTGATGGGTGTGATCTAATCCAGAGAAAACAGTATTAAACTTGTTCAACAAAAGATTTGGTGATGGCCTAAGGCCTTGACAGTGTATTGTATAGTTGTTGAATTACACCAACAACAAGAAGGAAGAGCTGAACACCAGCCATAACAAAAGCCACTTGTTTGTCTTCCATTTTCTTAAAGCAACAGGTCAGTGGTGCTGACCACAAACTGAGGCAGAGGTCAGCATTCCTCCTAATTTATCTTATCTGTCAGCAGTCAGACTGGCTGACTACAATGTGATACCGCAACTGCATGTTCACTGGCAGCGTGACAGGCATTATTAGACCTATATTCTTAAGCATGAGTGGTATGGGGTTGGCTGCAGCCTTTGCCATGTTTTTTAAACTTGGGAGAGAAGAAGAAGTACCTAACTTTTTCACCAGATAATATTTAATTATAATCTCAAGCTGGGAGGACTGGTTATCAGCTAGTTTTGCCTGTTTCTCTAGTAGTGAGCCATCGAACTTCAAGAGTAAAATTCAAAAAGGGAACACGTTCTGGGAATGTAGGTCATTAGCACAAAGAAACTGCTACATTTAGATGATATTCAAGACAGTGACTATGAGAAATGGAGAACCATTGAAAGGTCTCTACTTCCTCAGTGCTTTCTCTATCATAGCAAAGTAAGTTAAATTGCAGTCTGTATATTCTTCTAAAGAAACAAAAAAAAAAACCCTACATAAATGTAAATTGCTAAATCAATACAAACTGACAATGAGTAGAACATTTTAAGCAAGACAATAGTAAAACAAACAAATATTTTTCTTGTCTTCTGAATTTGCATGTCTCTACAATGTTTTTTATTACATTTACAGTACTTTGAGCTCTTAGTGCAAAATTGTGACAATAACTAAATCAACACAGTGACTAAAAACCACTAGAAATATCACGTGTGCAGTAAACTTACTTAACACGTGTGCCTGTGCCCTATGAATTAACACTATAATAGTCTGTGCAAAACCACAGGCCCAGGAAGAAACTGAATAAACCAGTTTGTCTCTCAAATTAATTGACTTTATTTCATACTCACAGGCTGTGGCTGCTCTGCAATGCAGCAGCTGAAACAAACCCAGAACTCAGTCATTCTGAGGCTGACGAAGAAGCCGCAGCAGTTTCCTCTGTCTGTCCAGACAACTCTGTGCGTGTGTGGGTGTGTGTGTGTCTTCCTGTTCAGTGTTAAAGTCCTGAACACACACCGGAAACTGATGATAGACACAAGCCACTGATTCCTCTGGGGGGTAAACACCTGGCACAGAACTGTGAAAACAGAAACACACCTGTCACAATATAAGAAGATATGAAAGAAAATAACCCCAAAATAGTTCCCATCAAAAGCAGGATATTAGGATTTAAACAGTTAATATCCTAAATATTAACCATCTAAATCAAAACATCTGGACTTAAGTATTAAAACATTTTACATGCATTTTCCCTCCATTAGGATCATACAGTGGTAACTGCTGTATGTGTACATTTAAGGATCAAATAAAAAGGAGCTCTAGGTAAAAACTACTTTAAATATGCAAAATTAGATTCAGAATTTGCATGACATTAATTTCCATAAGGTCATAAGGACAATGTCTCCTGAATATCATTTGCAGACATTTTTTGTGCTTTTGCTTACTGTGCATTTAATTTCAAATGAAATCTGACAACTGTGTAAAACAATGGTCACCCTAGTCATACAGTAGGTCAGTGTTTAACAAAAGTTAAGACAATGTCAGTATTTGCAAGAATTGTTGTTTCAAATAAGTGATCAGTGCACGCTTCAGCTGGTAGTCATTAAATGTTACTGTACATTCATTCACTGCTGTTATATGCAATAACAAAAGGTTACTTTTACAAAAAGTAAAACAGCTAAAGACATCATATGAAATCACTTTTATGCAGTATTTACAGTACTACTGTGCATGACAGTGTCCTTGGTACAAGCCATGGAAATCCCTTTTTCACATGTGAACCTGAGTGTCATGTGATTGCAAAGGTGTTCTTTCTGTTTATCTTCTGTCTCTTCTTGATGACAGTAGACCAGTGTGTGGAAATATTTTGATTCTTGATCTTGTGTGAAACTCTCTAGTGTGAAACTGGTACTCAGACTAAATATAGGTCTTGACTTTTGGAAAAAGAAAGTTATTGTTTATGTAAAAAGCCAAAAGGTAAAAAGCAGTGCCACTTTAAATAAATGAAGACTATTTATACTTGCCATAGAAAACTGATCTTTGAAGTCTTTTCTTGTTAGCCCCACTGTCATTAATGACTCTAAAAACACCTAAAAACACCTTTTTTTAAGAGACACTTTAGTATTTCAGCTCAGACTCCCCCACTCTCAAGGACTACTCGTTAAATGTGCGTGACTCGTTCTAAATAGTGACAACATCAGACAGCAGTGCGATGAGACTGAGTGGATTAAGAGAGGCTGCTGAATTCGACTGTTCGTGGTGGCAGTGCAGAAGTGAAACACTTGACCCGTAAATCCTGCGGTAGCTTGCAGTTGGGGATCAAGTGATGTACCACACGCTGAATAGCTCGCTGACACAGTTGATTTTCCTCATCTGTGCAGCTGACGGCACATATTCGCTGACATTAAACCGCGTCTGCAGCGAATCAATCGAGTTACCAAGTGGCAGGGAAACGCAGCATAGGTGTGCCCTGATTGTGTAGTCAGATGTGGTAACCTTGTAGACCCTAATCACAGATTAACCGATATAAATCAGCATTGGTACAAACCAATGGCTATTATGTAACTGGGTACCACTGCGGCAGCCGCTCGCGTCGGCGGGCACGACCTATAATCACACCTTAGCGCACTTCAGTATGATTAGTATCGACACAGTAGCGTTCCCTAATAACTCCATTGCTGTCTACTCTATAGTAAAACGGAACCCGTGTCTCCAGCATGAGCGCAAATTGACGTCCAATAAGCACAAATGCTAACTCCCACTAGCGCGCTAATGACAGCTAACCGAACCCATTTCCGATTTTCTGGTACGATTTTGACCAAATATAATAGTATACCAACACATATCTCAGTTCGTTGGTAAGAAGAAGTAATATACATTGTGTTTTATCTATTACAAATTATATGATTTAATGAACCTACCAGAAAACGATCACTCAGTCTGAAAAGGAAGAAGTGAACAATCGACAAGGAGCTAGCTTGAAGAATACCGAAAACCAGGAAGTTAGAGGGGTGATTGCGTCAAAGAACTTCCGCTGTGAAGATCGTCAAATTCCGTTGTTCACCCACGTTTCACGTTGCTCACATGAGAGCTAATATTTAGCAAATTTAAGTATTTCCAAGCTCAATAATGAGGCCGTTGACAGAGGAGGAAACGAAGACTATGTTTGAGAAGTTGTCGAAGTAGTAAGTCGACCTAGAGCATACTCTCAATTGTGAATGTATTAAAATTGGACAATGTCGATTAGCATGTTGCTCTGGCAGCGTGTGTCTGACTCTTGTCTCGTCTACGTTATAGCATCGGCGAAAACATCAAACTTTTGGTCGACAGGCCTGACGGAACATATTGTTTCAGGCTTCATAAAGACCGTGTCTACTACATGAGGTAAAACAGGAGATATTTTTATGCTGCCATCATACGCCAGTCAATGTATGTCTTAAGTGTTATTGTTTATCTCATTACAGCGAGAAAATTCTTAAACTGGCGACAAACATTTCCCGGGACAAACTGGTGTCAGTTGGGACATGTTTTGGAAAGTTCACAAAAACCAGCAAGTTCCGGCTCCATATCACAGCTCTAGATTTTCTGGCTCCTTATGCAAAAGTAAGTTGTGGCATACAGTTTTATTGTTATTGATCATCGGTTGCTAAGTCTTTGGTCATATATTTTACAAGCCCAAAATGCCCATTAATTTAGTCTCATCGTACTGACAACAACTGTTTTCTCCATTGCTTTTATAAACATAAGAACATAATAACATTATTGTAACCTGATTTACCAACAAGTTGATACGATTCACTTTAGTCAGGGGATGTTTATGTAGCCATCCTCAGAACATACATAAAATGTAATTTAGCAAAACTTGATAATTGGTTTTTATTATGACAATAATTTGTTTGACCTACGGTTTGGAAATTTTGTCAACAGTCATTTTGGAATAAAGAGTTAAACATATTGAAGAATTTATTGAAAGTTGTTATCAAAGCTTTATTAAAGCTCCAGGGCGCAGGTCTTACAGAGAGCAACGCAAGCACATCTCTTTATGAGAGTGCCCATTGCAAGCTAGTACAAGTTACATTTATAGTGTGCTGAATACATTGTGTGTGCGTACAAGAATATGAGTGTGGGCAAGTTGACCTCGGTGCCATCGCCACCTGTGAGAATATCTGGCCAACAGAAACTCAGAAACATGGAATATGTCCATGCAATTGTCAAGGTCTTACAAGAACCGAAGAAAAGATCATGACTAGCATCTCCCACCACTGGCAAGCACATGTAAGCTCAGGCTTGTTGTTACAGTGTTTCCATGTTTACCATCAGAGGGCAGTCTTGTTTTAATGTGGGCATTATTGTCTGTGCTAACTTTTTGTATGGTTTATTTCTGTGTATCCAATAACTTTCCTGCTTAGATATACACACTTATGAGGCAGTGTATTAGAAAGGCAAACTAATCTGTACCAGTTATACAAAATCAAACAAACTATTGATTAAACACAGTAATAAGGTACCTAATCCTTGACCATCATGACTGACTGTAAATATTTCTATGATTCTCAGTTCAAGGTGTGGGTGAAGCCTGGAACAGAGCAGTCTTTCCTATATGGGAACCATGTGCTAAAATCTGGTCTTGGGAGAATCACAGAGAACACAGAACAGTACCAGGGGGTTGTTGTGTACTCCATGGCTGATGTGCCCCTGGTGAGTTCTACTATTACTAAATCTCTTTTTGTTGTTTGAAAATGGACAGGCTTGATTAGTCATTTTTGTAATAACACATTCTTTTGGGGCTTTTTATATATCTATGAAAAATATAGATAGTCTGCATATTGTGAGAAATGTCAAATGTCCATCAAGAATTCTGTGGAAACCACATCCCTGAGATATGTTTCTTTTCCATGGATTGTGTGTTGTTTCAATGTTTAACTTGTTAAACAACAACCAATTAGAAACTGTTTTCCAGTTTTGATTTGATTTTTCAGTTTACATTTAGCTATATTTATTTAAACTTGTCTTGTAGCTATAAGCCCAAAAAGGCTTAACATTTTATGGTAACTGTTTTAGCACTACGTCTAGCAAATCTTGTTTACAGCAAAAACAAAAATAGCTGAAAGATAACTCTACATCAGGGGTGTCAAACTCATTTTCACCAGGGGGCCACATCACCTCCACCAGCTCCAGTTCCCCTTGATGGGCTGGTTTTAATTGGAAGAAGTATAGCTGTAACTACTCCATAACATTAATAATTGTTTCTGCAATTTGTTTTTAAGAAACAAATATTTTACGTTGCTCTAATATAAAAACCTTTTAATTTATCAGGTTCAGAAACTCAGCAGAATGGACTTTACTAAACACTAAAAAACTTGGTGGGCTGCATTTGGCCCACGGGCTGTGAGTTTGACATGTGCTACTTTGTTTCATACACTAGAAAATGGTGAGAAAAAGAGCTAAAATTCCAGATTAATTTTCATAAATCTGGGGCAGCGGTGGCTTAGTGGTTAAGGAAGTGGACTTGGGTCCAGAAGGCTTCAGGTTCAAGTCCACCAGCTGCCAAGTTACCATTGAGGTGCTCTGAGCATGGCACCGTCCCCACACTGCTCCCCGGGCAGATTAAAGCTGCCCACTGTTCACTTTGGTGATGGGTTAAAAGCAGAGGTCACGTTTGGTTGTGTGCATTGGTGTGCTGTGTCACAATGACAAGGAGTTCACTTTCCTTTCCTTTATAAATCTGGAATTTTAGATATTTTTCATAGACTTGAGTACAAATACATAAGGAAGCATGACATAAATTAATATCTAACAAAAATGCCTTTAATTTTCCAGTTTGGGATCAATAATGTACATCTAAGTTTTAGCAGTGCTGCAGATCAAATTAAATCAAATGTTATTTGATTTAAAGATACAGATCTGTTTTTGTCTGCTGATGCCATGATTGTTATTCTTTCCAGGGTTTTGGAGTTGCAGCCAAGTCTACACAGGAGTGCCGGCGTGTGGACCCCATGTCTATTGTGGTCTTTCACCAGGCTGATGTTGGAGAGTTCATCAGAAATGAAGACACGTTAACATAAACATGGATCAAAAACTGGGCTTTATTTCATCTGATCATCTACAGTCTGAAGGACAGTGTTTACTACTGTACTGTAGTCATGGACTACCTTTACTCTGACCATTTTACAAATTCATTAATTTAAGCTCATTATACAGAAAAACTTTTGTAGAATAAAATGTTTTTGTTAAAAAAAATAAAGTTCCACATTTTGAGGTACCAAAGACTCAATCTTCTTACACCATGTATAGCTTCTTCATTGTTCTCCATCTGTCTTTCAGGTTCACGTTTGTTCGTCCATTGAAGTCGTAATATTCCCGGATTTTATTCCAGTTTCCCTCTCCAAACATTTTAACTCCTTCTTCCAGCATTTTGGTCTCACTGTCACTCCACTTCTGTAACAACAGGAGAAATCTGCTACAGTTTCCACTACCATGCAACATTTTCAAAAAAAGCTGAAATGCTTTTTCAATAAAAACATTGCTTAGAATAAAAAGTAAATGCATTGACTGCAATGGTGTGGAATCATGAAATGCTCACCCTTTTCCTGTGACCTTTGGTGATGCTGTCATTTGGCCCTGATGAATAACAGAATAGAAAATACATGAATCATTAAGTTGTTCATTTGTTCCATTTAAAAAAAGTGATTTGATAAAGACAAAGATGACTAGTTACTGGGACCACTCTTGCAGCTGACTGACTCGTCATCGCTCCATCTTTCCTTGCTTTCTTTTGCAGTTTTCATAAGCACTTTCCTGAGAAAAAAACATGATCAGTACATTGACTGTTAAAAAGTGATTATTGAGAAATCAAGTTTTTTAAAATGATTAAGTATTCCTTGGCTGGCGATGCAGTTCAGAGCTTTCCTACCATTTTAAATTAGAAGAAAAGTCAAGTTTTTGCGGAGTGGAGCTTTTCTGAGGAACACAGTGATTGGGAGAGCTGTCTGATAAAGCTTCGGTGTCAAAGATGTCCTCTGGACTGCTGCATTGAGAAGTAGTACACTGTTAGCAATTAGTGAAAACAAACTAATGTCATATGTGCATATGTATTTGGAAATACCTTCTGTGATGACAATTACGATCTTGCGCCTTTGCAGGTGATGTTACAGAACTGAAGGACTCTTGGTCTCCCTCACCATTTGATGCTGGACCTCCATCATCGGACTTGTTGCTGTTGCTGCACGTGAGAGTTTAACATTCCGGGATTAAAGCATTGATCATGATTTATCCACAGCTACCCTGTGACTAATGAGTTTAAAATATTATTAGTTTGAGAGCCCTAGTCAAATTACATGTTTGAATCTAGATCAGGAAACAGGAAGTCATTGATGAAAGATGCTGGATATGGTCACTTGTGCATTTGAACTTACCTTGTAATTGAATCATCTTCCGGGATATGAAGTTTTTTTACACCAGCTTTCTTCTTGATATGAGAGCCAGAGAAGTCCACCTCACTGTCTGTAGACATCTCTATAAAACCTGTTGATGTCCTAAACACAAGTTTAAAAACATTATTGAGACATTGACTTTTAAACAGCACATTTACACAAAAATGGAGCAGCAGTAATCTGATGAGAGAGTTTACACTGTTTTGGCCAAGGCAATAACTGGACCATGTATCACAGTCATTACTGGTTAATTCAGAGTGTAAAACTTAATCGTAACTTTCTGGTTGTTAAAAAGAGACAGGAGTATATGATCAAAACTTAAACCTCTATGTAATCTTCATATGGAAAGACTGAGGAACCAATGAACAAGTGGTCCGAGCTCCGTCTACTTCTGAACATAAACCTGTTATATTATTTTTTTTACCTGCTGGAGCAGTTCTTTGTTTTTCTCCGGAACTTCCGTGAGGGTACAGAAACCTTGATGTCTGTCAGTGGGCTCTGTGACACGTCTGTGCTAGACGGTGGTGACTGCGGTGGCTCTTGTGTGACTTGAGTTTCTAGGTCCTGCAAGATTGTTGTACTCTGTGAACTTGTATTGCTGTCTGGTTCAACCACCAGTTGTGCCACAGTGTTGTGCCATTTTTTCCCTTGAACTACAGCTGGCTGGGAGCATAAACGTCCCTGCGCTTGAGGTTCAGTGTCCATTTGTGGTAGTTGTTCTGCAGGGCCA